CATTCACCCTTGACTCCATCCCCTCTTCTTCTCCAGCAAACTGCCCCCACTATCATTCCCCTCTCTAATATGCAATCTTTCCCCATCTATTAGTTCCTTCCTTCCTTATGGCTTACCAACATCTCAAGTCTCTCCCATCCTCAAAAAATTCTCACTAGACTCTCCCTATCATCCTTTATCTCTATTCTTTTCCTCAGCTAAACTCCCTGTAAAAACAGTATTTCACATGGTACCTCTACTTCCTCTCTCCTCACTTTCTTGACCTCCTGAAATCTGGCTTCTGATCTCATCATTCAACTGAAACTGCTCTCTCAAAATTACCAAAGATCTCCTCGTGGCCAAATCTAATGGTCTTTTCTCAATTCTGATCCTCCTTGACTTCTCTTCAATCTTTGACACTTGATCATCCTCTTCTCCTAGATAGTCTCTTTTCTCTAGGTTTTTGGGAGACATTACTATCTCAAGCACTACCCAATCTCTCTCCTAAGTTCCAGTCCTGCATAACCAATTTCCTTAAACATTTCAAATTAGACATGTTATAGGCACATCAAACTCAACATGTACAAGACAAAACTTATTATCTTCCCTCAAAACCCACCCCCTCTTCCACACTTCCCTATTGTCAAAGGCACCACCATCCTTGTCACCCTATTTTATAACTTCAGCGAACTCCTCACTCACCTCAGATATGCATCACTTGCCAAATCTTGTTTCTCTATAACTTCTCCTGCATCCACTCTGCTTTCTCCATTCATATAACCACAAACTACATTCAGGCCCTCATCTCTGCTAGACTAGTGCAATAGCCTTCTATTTGGTCTCCCGGCCTCAGACCTCTTCCCCATTCCAATCCATCTTCCACATATTTGATAAAGTGATTTTCCAAAAGCATGGTCTACTCATGTCAAACCCCACCCCCTCAATAAACTCCAGTGGTTGCCTATTGTTTCAAGCATCAAACATAAACTCCTCTGCTTAACATTTAAAAAGCTGTGCAATTCAGCCCCAGCTCCTTCCTACCTTTATACCTTACTGCCCTCTCTGCTCTTCAATCCCACCATGCTAACCTACTTGCTGTTTACACACACAATACTCCATCTTCTGTCTCCTGGCCTTTACACTGGCTGTCTCTCACACCTAGAATTCACTCCTTCCTCACCTAAGTACCACTTGGTTTCCTTTAAGACTCAGTCTAAGCACCATCTTCATGAGGCCTTTCCTGATCCTTCCAGCTGCTACTGCAAGCCCTCCAAAACTACCTTGTATTCATTTTGTGGGTATTCTCTATGTATCCATATGTACATATAGGTGAGTATATATACACACAGATTCCTTGAGGGTGGGGACTATTTTACTTTTTTCTTTGTATTCCCAGTAAGTTTAATAGTAACTGCTTAGTAAATGTATGCAGATTGACTGTTCTTTCAGAACTCCTTACTCCAAGGCTGGCCGTTTATCCACTATGCTACAATGCTTCTCAACACATTTATAAAGAAACAAAAAAAGTCAACGGAAATTTAGGCTGCATTAAGAAAGCGACAGTAATCCAAGACTAGGAAGTCCCAATATTCTATGCCATAGTGCCACTACATCTAGAGCACTGCATTTCATTACAAGTACCACATTTTAGAAGGCTGGAGAGCATTCAGAGATGGGCAGAAGAACAATTAAGGGGGTGCAGCTAGATGGTGCAGTGGATAGAGCACTGGTCTTGGAATTAGGAGAACCTGAGTTCAAATACAGCCTCAGACACATGATACTTACTAGCTGTGTGACCCTGTGCAAGTCACTTAACCCTGACTGCCTTGCCAAAAAAAAATAATAATAATGAAGGGCCTCAGGATCATACCACACAAGAGCTGTTTGAAGAAACAATATATATTTAGCTTGGAGAAGGCTTAATGGGAGCAAGATAGCTGGCCTAGAGAAGAATAAGACCAGCTGCTTTTGTTTCTTGGGCAGAACTAGGAGCAAGGGGTGAAAATTTGCAGTTAGATTTAGGAACAATGTATAAGGAAAAACTTCCTAACAATTAGAACTATCCAAAAGTCGGGGGTATATGGTGTGTTAAGGGAAGACTAACACCTCTGGTGTGAGGTTAGTCCAGCCCTTTTCTGGGCTGTTCATCCATGTCTGATGTCCAACCAGTCACCCACTCTCACCTGTGGCTCCAAGAAGCTGTAGCATGTATAGCTGCCACACCCTGATAAAACCATCTTGGCAGACAGGCTACACCAGGCTGAGGGTAACCTACAGGCCTCAAACTCACCAGTGAGTTTGGTCAGACATCAAAGATGACAAAGTCATCCACTGCATCCTGGGCCATCACCAGTCATCCTGACTTATGTCTTGCCTCTGGATTTCAGTGACTCTGGAAGAGTGAGACTAACAACTCTGCCTCACTTAAATCCAATTCATATGCAAGTCAAGACATCGCCCTGTGAAGTTATTGGTCCTCTTCAAAAATGAAGGACAAACAACATCCAAAAGTGGAATGGGCTGACTCAAGAGGTGGGAAATGTCCCCTCACTGAAGCAAAAGACAGGTGACCAATTAGTGAGGATGTCATTGAAGAGACTCTTGTTAATTTTGGACAAGATGGTATCTAATGTCCCTTCCAAATTTTTATCCTTCCTTCCTCCCTCCTTCCTTTTCCCTCTGTCCACATGGGGAATCACACCCCTACATGTGAGCGCTCTACCTAAAGGAATATAAATTTTGATTACTGAAACCTTACCAAGATATCTTGGGGTTTGGGGGCTAGATTTTTTCCTACTTATTTATTCCATTATTTTAAAAACTGGGACAACTCTTTTGTCCCATGTAGTTTCATTTATGATTTCTTGAAATAGAGCTCAGGAAAACCATGCTTTGATAAAATCCATTGGGATTCAAATGGAGCTACTTGACCATACCTTAAACCCAAATCACTCCCGCTCTGACTTGCCAATAATAGGTCCCAGACAAGCCTCACTTGGTTGTTTGGGTTGTGATGAGTCAGTGAGTATAAATAGCAATTGTTTCTGTTCTGGCCAGCAACCTTGAAGGTCTTCCCTCCTAGTCTGATTTTTTTTTTTTGGCATAGGCAAACTAGGCCATCTATTTTTTTAAAAATTATTTTATGTGAGGCAATTGGGGTTAAGTGACTTGCCCAGTCACACAGCAAGTGAGTGTTGTGTCTGAGGCTGGATTTGAACTCAGGTCCTCCTGACTCCGGGGCTGGTGCTCTATCCACTAGCTGCCCCCTAAACTAAGCCATCTTTTGCCTCATTTCTTACCTATCCTTAAATAATTGAATGGGTGTTGCCTCAGATAAACTGGTACCTGGGAAAGACCTTAGCTGAAAAAAGACCAAGGTCTCCCACTGCATCTGGGGTCATTGCCAGTCATTCTAACCTATTCTTGCCACTGGACTCTGGTGACTCTGGAGGACAGAGTGAGGCTGATGACTTTGCACAGCCCTGCCTCACTTAAATCCAAATCACTTGCAAGTCAAAATATCACCACCCTGATATCCTTGGTCCTTGTTGAGAACAGACAAACAACAACAATGTTCCTAATAACATTTGCTTAGGGATATATTAAAATAATTTAGATTCCCTAAGCACACAACAAATTAAAGACAAGTAGTCTAGAAGAGCATCCTTATTACTGTATACTTCTGGCTGCAAATCAAAGTCTAACTGAAGTAAAGGTAGAAGATAGCAATCATTCTTAAAGTTCTCTCCCAAATCTCCCCTTAACAATTTCAGTGACAATTCAATCTCTCAAAGTTAAGAAAAAAGCTAACATTTACTCAAACCTATTCTCTTATTTGTAGGTAGGGTTAAGTACAAATTTCCTAGTTTGTAAGTAGGAGAAAAAGACTTCTCCATATGGATTTGAAGTGTTTTAACTTCTAGAGGAGAAAAGACAGGCTCTGTGAGCATCATCTGGCAAAATGTGTATGGTCAATAAATATTACAGGACCACAGAATTTAGGGCTGGAAGAGGCCTTAGAGATCATTTAGTCTAAGATCCCTCATTTTATATTTGAAGAAAGTGGGACCCACAGAGGAAATTAAGTAGCAAAGCCAAGATTCCAATGAAGATCTTCAGACTTCAAATCCAATAGTCTTCCCTGGCCATCATATGAGCATCTTTGAAAGGAAATTAGAATAAACCTTAAACATTCTTCAGTAACCAATGTCTACCTTCCCTAATTAGAATACTTAGGAGTCTGTGAGATTCCAGAGATAACTGTAAAATTTTTCCTAAACACTAAAGCCTTTCCCCATGATGAAAAAGTTGTTTCCTCTCCCCATCTTCCTTACTCATCCATGATACAGATACCCAAAATTATATGGGTCTGAGCAGAAAAACAACAGGTTAGAGAGATGGTGCTGATCTCCTCCATAACAATGTAAACTGATTCCAACATAGACTGACGGAGAAATCTACAAACCAAAAGTCAAGAAAGATTCAGTTCCTTCCTTCCACCCATACCTACTCCCTCTCATGTCTTACTCCTCTGAGCTACATATCCTTTCCCTTTTCTGGGGACACTGGCTAGGAGGAAAGTTGGACAGGGGTAGAGAGAAGGTGCAGGGGGGTTAGAAGAGCTAGGAGGGAAGGAAGAAGGGAGGAAAACAAGAAAGAGGGAAGAAAAAGGGAAGATGAACAGGAGAAAAGATGAGAAGGGTAAAGAGGGAGAAAGAAGGAAATGAAGAAAAGGCAAGAAGGGAGGAAAACAAGCAGGGAGAGAAGAAAAGGGGAGGGTGAATAGGAGAAAGGACAGGAATGGAGAATGGGGGAAGGGGGTAAAGGAAGGAAAGAAGAAAATGGAAAAAAGGGGAGAAAGAAGAGGGAAAGGAATATAGGGGAAAGGGAAAGGAATGGAAAACAGGGGGGAAGGAGAGAAAGAAAGGGAGAAATGGGAGGAAGAGAGGAGTAAAAGAAAGAAAAGTTAAAAGAAGTGAGAGAAGGGGTGAAGCATGTGGGCGCCCAGCCATCCCGCTCACCCCGCCTCGCCCCCGGGTCTGAAGCGAGGGTCCGGCACCCCGGCGCCAGGCGGCCGGGGGTGGGTCCGTCCAGCAGTCAGGGGCTCCCCAAAGGGGCGCGGGGGGGGGGCTGGTCGGTGAGGAGGCTAAGTCCGGCAGAGAAGGCTCGGGGATCCGCCTCCCGGGCTGGATCCAAGGCTGCCCCAGCTGCCGCATGCCCCTCGGTCCCAGCCACCCGCACCACTGCCGTGGCCAAGGTTGTTCAGGCGCAGAGACCGCACTCGGGCCACACGACACCCTTCCCTATCCGCCTCCCCTCTGTTTCCTAGGCTCTGAGTGCGGCCCTATCATGTGATCAGCAAAGGGGGCGGGGCGGGGCAAGAGAGAGGGAGGGTGTTGGGATGCTGGATGCAACAGCGCCAAGGCAACAGGAAAGGGTCTCCTCCTTGCCCCGGTCTCTCTTCTCTTATGTGATTGGCTGAAGAAATTGCCCCATGGCTGCTGGGAAACCTCTTAAGTGTTGGAAGGCCAGGGAAGCCCCAAGGCCTATTGGGAGTCGTAGTGTACAGTGTAGACCGAGGTAATAACTTCTCTTCAGTTTCTCAACTGCACTAGACTCAGAACGGGGTCTGCTGGGAAATGTAGTTCAGAAAGCCAAGATTTCCTTGAGATTTTTCCTCTTTTCGTTCCAAAGGAGGAAAAACCCACAATAAAAATTTCCTTCTTGGGTCTTTGCGACAAGCCCTTATGAGTATTACAATATCAACAGCAATGAGACAGAACTAGCACAGAGGGGCTTATTAGAGAAGGCAATGTATCCATCCATCCTTCATACTACTGACCAGGTACTGTGCTAAGCACCAGAGATATCAAGACAGTCTGGGACCTTAAGTAGCTTACTTTCTAATTGGAGAGACAACATGATTTTACAGGTATATAAAAGACATAGACAAATCAAATACAATGTGATCTTGGAGGGGAAACCAGCTGAGGGGACCAGGAAAAGCTTCCTGTAGTAGATGATGCTTGAACTGAAATTTGTAGGAAACCAGGAATTCCAGGAGTCTGAGGTAAAGAGGTAATATATTCCAGGCATGGAGGACAGTTAATGCAAAGGCATGGAGATGAGATATGAAGCATCCAGACAAGATGTCACAACTAGGAGTGTCAGTAAATGTGAATGAGATCACACAGCCTCCATGAATCCCAGAGAATAAAGCTAGGCCAGTGTCCAGCCAAATGAGAGGAAAAAAGGCAAGATGTGAAGTCTGAGTAGTCAGAAGTCTGCGGTTATTGTTAAAAGTCTAGACTGGGTAAAAGAATACAGGTTGCTGGGAAATCCAAATATAGAAATAAGGGCAGAGGGGCAGGTAGGTGACACAGTGACTAGAGCACCGGCTCCGGAGTCAGGAGGACCTAAGTTCAAATCCAGCCTCAGATACTTGACACTAGCTATGTGACCCTGGGCAAGTCATTTAACCCCAATTGCCAAGGAAGGAAGGAAGGAAAGAAAGAAAGAAAGAAAGAAAGAAAGGAAGAAAGGAAGAAAGGAAGAAAGAAGGAGAAAGAAGGAAGGAAGGAAGGAAGGAAGGAAGAAGAAAGACTACAGGCTCAGACCTGACAGGAGAACACTTGAGGAAGTGTAGTCTAAATGGTCAGGCAAGACCCAGGAAAATCATCAAAGCAACACACTGGAATATGACTACTGATCCTACAACTGGGACTAGTTGCCTTCTGTCCTGTCTGTAACAGGGTCTTAAAGAATATGGCTAGCAGAGGGCAAAATTCTCAGGTGCTCAGTTGAAACAGTTTTTTGTTCTTATGTTACTGAAGGATGAAAAAGAGGCTCTTTTCTCGTTAGTGCCTAGAAGGTATGTTGTAGCATCCTCTTGGACTCAGAGTGGAAAATCAAATTATGTAAGTTCCTATTTTGGGGATACTGAATAAATCTTAGACAGTACATCGAATGTAATCATGGAGATAACTTGGTTCAATGAAAGTATTTATATAGTGTATACTATGTGCCAGGTACTGTGTTAAGTGCTTTATCTGAAACTGAGGCAAAGAGAAGGTAATTGACTTGCCCAGGGTCACACAGTTTGAGGTCAAATTTGAACTCAGGTCTTCCTGACTCCAGACCCAGAACTATGTCCACTGCACTGCCTTACTCTCCTTCACACATTCTGCTGTAGCACCTGAGACCCCAAGAATAAGCTTCCCAGGTTCAAGATAACTCTGTGGGTCCAAATCCATTCAAAACCATCGCTCACAAGCATTCACTGATGAATTTACTTCCTCTCAAGTCAGTCAGAGGACACAATTAGTTCAAAGAAAATGTATTTAATGAAATAGCATAGTAGAAAAATTTTCAAGAGAACATTTCTCCTACAAATCTTTGGCATATTCTCCCCAGAATACATGATAGAATCTGGCCACTCCTGTTGGAAGCAACAGCTGGCAATGCTTGCTGTGAGCAAGTGGAAACCAGCAAGGGAAGAACCTGACTGTGCCTAGGAATTTACCTCACACATACGGAGACAATCTCAGGGACATATCACACATACATTTATCTAGGTTTCCTGGGTGAAGCCTATGAAGCCAAGACAATGAGAAAGTGAGAGAATCCTCCAAATTTTACTGGGACTTTCATATTATGAGAATTTCTCACACAAGGGTTTTAATAGATAATGAAAGATGGAAGGTCAATCACATGTAATAAGATTTTCCTGTTCTGGTATTTCTTTTTTGGGAAGAGGTAATGAAGTTAATATATATTTTTTGAACACTGAGTTAGCTGGTTACCAAAACTACATGGGATTAGTGACTTCAGTGATCTTTTGGGCATTAGTAAATCCCATGAGACATTTTGGAGCGAAATGATGTTGTCTAAAGAGTTTTAGGAATTTAATAGAGTAAATAATTTTCAGCAATTTTCCTTTTTTTCTTCATTTCTCGTGAAGTAATTTTTTTTATATTTGATATTGGTCATTTGATTTTTCCTTTTAAGAAATTTAAAATTAGTTGATTTAATTAATTTGATTGGTTTTAAATAAGCTTTTATTTCACTTATTTCTTTTAATTTTATTAATTTCTTCTGTCAGAATTTCTCTTTTGATGTTTAATTAGAGTTTTTAATTATTTTCTAGGTTTTTTTAAAAGTTGCATGTTAAATTCATACTTCTGTTTTTTCTCACGTGTAGATAAAAGTGTCTAAATATATTAATTTTCCCTAAAGGACTATCTTGATTGCATCACAAAAATTGTACTGCGTTATCCCCATGGAAATGATCTATTGTTTCTATGATTTGTTCTTTGACCAGCTAATTCTGTAAGATTAAGTTGTGTAGTCTCCAATTAATTTTTTAATTTAAGACTCAGGTCTTAGTAGACTCTTTCTCTGAATCCTGAAGACAAGATGATTCTGAGAGAAGACTTGGATCATTTCCACCTATTAAAATATAAACATTTTATCCTTATTTATGCTGTTCCAATTGCTTATCCATACTTAACTTTTCATGTTTTCTTGACTCACATTTCTATTTCAAAGTCTCTAATTAGTTTTTGCCTTTTCACCAGAATGCTTGGGGGTCCTTAATTACATTAAAGGTTCTTTCTTTCCCCTGTAAAATTATATTGTTTTTCTTTTTTGTAAGACTATTTCTTTTGCTTTTTATAATATTGAATACCAAGCTATCTGCCCCTTTAAAATGATGGCTGCTAAATCTTATGTGACCTTGACTATGGCTCTCAGTGCTTGCACTTTTTCTGCCTGTTTGCAGTAGTGTTTTTCCCTTAACCTAGAAGCTTTAGACTGTAGATATGACATTCCTAGGAATTGCATTTTAGGATTTCTTTAAAGAGTTGGCTGGTGGATTCTTCTTATTTTCTGCTTTGCCCTTAGGTTCTATAAATATGGGCAGTTTTCTATCATAACATCATGAAATATATCTAGGCTCTTTTTTGGTCATGGCTTTTAGGTAGTCCAATGATTTTTAAATGTTTTGTCTTTGATTTTATTTATAGGTTATTTTTTTTAATAGCTATCTTTATTCTTCCCTGTCTCCTCCTCTTTCTTCTCTCCTTTCTCTTCTTCCCTTTTCTCCTTCTCTTCCTTCTTTTTTTAAATATAAATTTATTTATTTTTAGTTTTCAACATTCACTCCCACAAGTTTTTGAATTCTAAATTTTCACCCCATCTCCCCCCTTCCCCCACCCCAAGATGGCATGCATTCTGAATATCCCTTCCCCTAGTCTGTCCTCTCCTCTCTATCTCTCTCCTTCTCTTATCCCCTTCCCCTTCTATTTTCCTATAGGGCAGGATAGACTTCTGTACCCCATTTCCTGTATTTCTTATTTCCCAGTAGCATGTGAAAACATTTTTTTAAACATATGTTTTTAAAACTTTAGGTTTCAAATTTTCTCTTCCTCCCTCCCCCCACCCACCCTCATTGAAAAGGCAAGCAACTCAATATAGGTTATACATGTGCAGTTATGCAAAACACGTCCATAGTAGACATGTTGTGAAAAACTAACTCTATTTCCCTTAATCCTATCCTGCCCTCCCATTTATTCTATTCTTTCTTTTGACCCTGTCCCTCCTCAGAAGTATTTACTTCTGATTACCCCTTTCCCAATCTGCCCTCCTCTCTATCATCCCCCTGCTCTCTTGTCCCCTTCTCCCCCTATTTTCCTGTAGGGTAAGACAGATTTCCATACCCAATTGAATGTGTATGTTATTCCCTCCTTAAGCCAAATCCTATGAGAATAAGATTCACTCATTCCCTCTCACCTTCCCCCATTTCCCCTCCACTGCAAGAGACTTTTCTTTTCTGTTTTTTTTTGTGAGATAATTTACCCCATTCTACCTCTCCCTTTCTTCTTCTCTGAGTATAATCCTCTCTCATCCCTTAATTTTATTCTCCAGATATGACCCCTTAATCTTCAACTCACCCTGTGCCCTCTATCTATCTATCTATCTACATACATACACATATAGAATTTTTTTCCTCCAACTACCCTAATACTGACAAAGGTCTCATGAGTTATAAATATCATCTTTCCATGCAGGAATGTAAACAGTTCAATCTTAATAAGTCTC